TTACCTGATTTAATAGATATGAAAAGAAGAAAAATAGTGTTGTTCGCTGTGTATATTCTAAATGTATTCATATATCAATGTGGATTCACCAAACTATGAATGTATTCTCCACGGCTACCATAGTGAGCATCGTAGCAACCTGCTTCGAAACATTTGTCTTCGTAGCATTTAACATTATTTTCCGTGTAAATATACATACTCATATTGACGGCGTATACGGTAGATAANATACAGTTATGGACATTGTATAAATGTTTGCTCCCCAAATTGTGTGAAGTGCCTTGATATAATGATAATACACATGGTTTGTAAAACGTCATGCCAGTATGCAGGACAAACTGTTTAAAGCGTTTTGTTTGTATGGTACAATGTATGTTTGTACCTTGCTGTCTTCGCCAAATAAAAGGAATGTTCACTACTTTGTGTGCTGAAATGTCAGGTTAAAAAACCACGAGTAGCTATATTGTCATTTTTTTTCTCTAGCATTTTGAATGCATACAGATTTGTTTAACTCATGGAAAAATATAAGTTGGTGATGCGACCTAGCGACTGGTAGACAATCTACAAGAAGACTGTGCTGTTAATCTACCGTCCACTAAATTACGCTATTAAAATATTCTATACCTACCCAATTATAATAATTCAACATCGTTAAAGGTGTGCGATGCGCGTACGCCGCCAATCCGAGACAGCCGTGCCGAAGATGTCCAGTCCATAGACATTCATTTCTCCACATATAAAGACAAGTACCACAATCCCCTGGACAATGAAACTGCAACAGAAAAACTAAAACTCCCTGCAGTATCGATTCATAAAAAGTAAAAACGTGTAGGGTGGGAGGGCATAACATTTCTCTATATCACACAACCCATATTTATTCAGATTACCAAAACAATCTCAGATTTTTTTTCCCTTTCTCTCAGTCCCTCGTGTATCTTGAACAGGCAGTTTAATTAAGACACCCCTTCTGGTGCAAGGGAAGTAACTCTTACTCGATTGAGTTACCCGTATACAAAAGTTTGAACACATTCGTCGACGAAACAAATTTCGCCCATTGAGTCTGCAAACACATTTGCCAGGTACACAAATCGTCTTTCTTAAATAAAACCATCCATTTATTAACAATAGATGTAAGCTTACCAGTAAAATATGTCTTGGGGTTTCCTTGCGATTATTTTGATTCTGACTTTAAGAACGTGACATTAAATAAATGTGACCTAAATGTCGTCGGTAAATCAAAACACGTTTACCTTTTGGTTTTTATTTCCTTATTCATTTTCAAGGATCTCCTTATGATTGCTTTTTTTCCTGGTTTCAAATACATGTATAAGGTTGCCATGTAAAATGGTCGACCACTGATTAAACAAAATTTCCCGAATCTCCGTAACTTGAGGAAAATGAGGAAGCGTCACCATTGGCCGGAAGACAAGAATGTCCCTTTTTACCGTTTTATGGTAATATGCTATTCCAAAGCTAATGACATTTTGATATCGGTCTTTACGAAAAAATATTAATATGAGGCTGAATAGAAATCCTTCCTAAGATAAACTGTTTAGTGTTAAGCATTGATTTGATTATGATGGAAGACAGAGAGAATATTATATTCAATCTAAGAATGATCAATGTACATGAAGAAAACAATGTTCATTACGTGTTTTCTATAAGTTTTTTTGAGGCCGTTGAAAGTTTATTGTGTTTCCAAAAGTGATTATATAGCACTCGTGTTGACATTATACAGTGTTCCANGATTACCAAAACAATCTCAGATTTTTTTTCCCTTTCTCTCAGTCCCTCGTGTATCTTGAACAGGCAGTTTAATTAAGACACCCCTTCTGGTGCAAGGGAAGTAACTCTTACTCGATTGAGTTACCCGTATACAAAAGTTTGAACACATTCGTCGACGAAACAAATTTCGCCCATTGAGTCTGCAAACACATTTGCCAGGTACACAAATCGTCTTTCTTAAATAAAACCATCCATTTATTAACAATAGATGTAAGCTTACCAGTAAAATATGTCTTGGGGTTTCCTTGCGATTATTTTGATTCTGACTTTAAGAACGTGACATTATATAAATGTGACCTAAATGTCGTCGATAAATCAAAACACGTTTACCTTTTGGTTTTTATTTCCTTATTCATTTTCAAGGATCTCCTTATGATTGCTTTTTTTCCTGGTTTTAAATACATGTATAAGGTTGCCATGTAAAATGGTCGACCACTGATTAAACAAAATTTCCCGAATCTCCGTAACTTGAGGAAAATGAGGAAGCGTCACCATTGGCCGGAAGACAAGAATGTCCCTTTTTACCGTTTTATGGTAATATGCTATTCCAAAGCTAATGACATTTTGATATCGGTCTTTACGAAAAAATATTAATATGAGGCTGAATAGAAATCCTTCCTAAGATAAACTGTTTAGTGTTAAGCATTGATTTGATTATGATGGAAGACAGAGAGAATATTATATTCAATCTAAGAATGATCAATGTACATGAAGAAAACAATGTTCATTACGTGTTTTCTATAAGTTTTTTTGAGGCCGTTGAAAGTTTATTGTGTTTCCAAAAGTGATTATATAGCACTCGTGTTGACATTATACAGTGTTCCATTAATGAGGGTTGCTGGCAGAAGTAGACCGCTATCCGTCAACTTTGAGTCGGCTATTTTTTTTTAGAATAACTTTAGTTCAGGTCAATATAATACCATGTAAAACATTCAAGCGGCTATTCTTTTCAAGTCTACCTACTATTTCAAAACACCAATACATAAAAAGATTGATTTCAGAGGTGTTTTTATAGTTTTCTTTCTTTTGATCTATTTTCCTACTGTTACCATGTTCACAAAGATTGTACCTGTATTCCTCCTCTGGTTTTACAGTTTATGACAGTACACTCATATCCAATGTAATGCATTGAGTAATAGCTGGCATCAAGTTTCATTTGATTTGGCAGATAACATCTCTATTCGCAAAAGTGTAGCAACAAGCAGCAACCAAGACGTAGCTAAATGGCCGGCGAGTGCAGCGGTGGACGGTGATATAAGACAAGAAATAACATACTGCGCACACACACTTGCCGAAAATCAACTTACTGCCTGGTGGAGGGTTGACCTGGGGCAACTAATGACAATCAACTATATCACAATATATTATAGGGGTAAGTTGATGTCTAATCCGCTTCATATTTTAACTGATATAGGATTTGTCTTAATATCATTATCATGATTTTCTTGTTTTTATGAACCAATACTATTGACTAGCAAGCACGTACATTATGATAACTGAGGTATCAGGTGTTGCCATTTTAAATCCAAATCGTAACATATCTTAAAAATTACATGTATCGCAACGTCTACAGTTGTTTTTGCGACAAAGATAGCGTAACAAGTCAAAGTCTTATCATCCTTGTAATGTTTTAAGAGGCCCCTGTTATCTTGTTCATTTTTTCTCCACGGTTCATTGATTTTGAGTTTCAATTACATACCGTATTTTTTTCACCTTTCAACAGTAAAACATTGTCTACAATAGTGTTTTTCCAGATAACACGTTTACGGATACGTATCGTATACGCATTTGATGGCGCGCTGTCCTTTAGCGATCCAAACCCAGCCGATCAAAACCGGTAGTGTGCGAAAATTAGTTCCGGAAACAGAAACACAATGTTACAAAAACAGGGAGATTATTATATTTTATTTTATTTTTGTATTTTTTGTATTTGTATTTTATTAAACTCTAAATAACTCTTTTGAGAGAGCAACACGTGTATGTAATAAGTTAAGATCGGGTACGATGTCCCTTGTTCGTTCCGGTTCACATCCCTGTGTTCTCAACCCTTTAACAGCAGCGAAGCTTTGGCAATTGACAAAAACCGAAATAATAATGTTAGAAAGAGCACAACATTTTATTGTTAAATCTATTCAAGGGTTTGAAAAAGAACCAGAACAGACATATGTACATCCTTACTTGGTTTGACCTCTATTGAGGCATATATAGACATTAGAAAATTATTTTTCTTGGGAAGATTGTGTAGAATGAAACCGATGTCTCTTGTTTATAAAGTTTGCATTACCGACTCTTTTTGTTTCGACTAGGTAGACTGTACCAGAACGGATTCACCCCCGACATAGTCAAAATATTAAAAAAGTATTCCTTGCATCAAAATCTAGATAATTTTGTTGAAACTGGAATCTTTCGAAAGAAAAGTGATTGGAAGTCTACAGTTTATAATTCTGTTATGAAATATGAGGGACACAATCTAAAGGAACGTATGAAAGTTGATAATGATTTTACAAGGTTTCGAGAAATACATAACCAACTCAAACCTAATACTTTATGGAAGCTAGCGCTTCGATTTCCTCAATACAGAGAATATATACAATATATAATGACAATAGTTGTAACCATCCGTAGCCTGACTCCCATGGACTTATGTCATAAATGTGGGTTTTATATCAAGACCCAATGACACATCTAGTGCTACAGTGTATTTAGTGTCTATTTACACTCTCTCCCCGATCTTGATATATTACACAGTGATTGGAGGAAATATAACCTACAAAATTAATGAAGAAGAGTTGAATGATTTCAGGATAAAATCCATCATTTATGTGAACAAGATGTGTAAACTATATTATACTTAATTTATATAATAGTTATGATTAAAAGTTAAATACAAACAAATGATGTAGAATGTTGTATAAGTTATGTGCACTTAGCAAAATATATCACATGAGATACTATATGAACTATACTACATATTAAGATGCATGGGAGTATACATGTGTGGGACCGTAACTGTAACAACACCTCGTAGGTGGGGAGATCCCCCACCCTTGTGTGATCCAGACCCACAAATGTATCCTCCACGGTTATAATTTGTATGTTACAATAAATGTCAATATTGCATGTATCAGTATAACGTACCACATATCAATATAATTTATTATAATTTACTTGGCTTGTGCAAATCAATATACAATCTGTATATTGAAACTATATACACATCCCTATATATAAATGTAACAGGGTCAATTTTATTGTCATATATAGTAAATGTTATAATTGTGTACAGATGTTCATTTGTATGTGTTTGTTGGAGGAAAACAAGGAGGAGTTGAAAAACTTCCACCCAGTTTCAAATCTGCCTTTTCTGTCTAAGATCTTGGAGAAGGCTGTGTCCCGGCGTTTAGAGGTTCATCTCCATGCAAACAGTCTCCATGACAACATGCAATCGGCCTACCGCATGGGACACTCTACTGAGAAGCCCATTCTACGTGTACATAGTGATATAGCTTCTGCATTGGATAACAAGTGCAGAGCGGTGCTTGTCATGCTGGAATACTCTTATGGAGTGACTGATACCGCACTACGCTGGATAAGTTATACCTGAGTGAACGACGACAGTGTGTTGCCATCGGATCTGCCACCTCACATGACAAAGAACTAGATATCGGGGTTCCTCAAGGGTCGGTGTTACGACCACAAAAATATTGTACGTACTCCAAGCCGATTGGAGAGATTTGTCATCGCCATAGCCTTCGCTATCATTTCTATGCTGATGACACACAAATTTACATGGTCATAAAACCACAGGACAGTTGGAATACAGTATCAGAAAGTCCGGAAGCTTGTCTGACAGATATCAGTATCTGGATGAACGCCAACATGCTTAAACTTAATCAGGAAAAGACGGAACTAATCGTCTTTTCCTCAAAGTGTCAGCAAACAATGGCTCTCCAGCTCAAGGTTGGTGCCAGAACTATTGAGACTGTTCCAGCTGTTAAAAACCTAGGGGTATACTTAGACAGTTCTCTGAGCATGGAGAAACAAGTGAACGTTATTGCCAAATCCTGTTACTACCAGATCAGGAACATCGGCTGTATTCGGCAGTTTCTAACTGCAGATGCATGCAAGATTTAGGTGCATTCACTTGTTACCTCTCGGTTGGATTATGGTAACGCCCTGCTCTGTGGTATATCTGACAAACTAACTAGTCGTCTGCAGAGGGTTCAGAACACTGCAGCACGGCTAGTTACTCGTACTCGAAAAAGGGAGCACATCACACCTGCGCTTTATTCGTTGCACTGGTTACCTGAACGATACAGGTCGCAGTACAAAATTCTGGTATACACATACAAGGCACTGAATGGAACAGCTCCTCCGTACCTACAGGAACTTGTTACCCTGTATCAGCCGTCAAGATCACTGCGGTCGGAGTCAGAATCTTTGTTGTGTGTCCCAAAATCTCGTACTGTGACCTACGGAAACAGATGCTTTGGGAGGGTTTCGGCTACGTTGTGGAATAGCTTACCATCTGCTATTAGGAAGTCGAATACCCTGGCCAAGTTCAAGAGGGACATAAAAACTCACCTCTTCACGTCTGCATTTTAGAATCTTTGCAAAGACGTCCTGTAAATACCACCCTTTTATTTGTTCAATTATGTGCACATTGCTTGTTAAATGTATGAAAGTGATTGCAAGCCTTTGTTGTTTGTTTTCACAATTATAACCATTACAATTATCCATATGTTGTAAAGCGCCTTAGAGTAATTTTACAAATTATATAGGGCGCTATATAAATGCTGTATATTATTATTATTATTATTATTATTTGTCCATTTGTTGGCGTTACATGTTACAGAGTAATGTGTTGCTAATTTCAGTGTAACAGTTTACGCCCATGTCCAAATCTTGTCTTGGTTTTAATAGGATTGGTCGCTATTTTTATAATCCCTTGTTGGTCAGTCTTGACGGGAATATCATCGTTAGGTCAGTTAGACTCGTGCCTGCCAAGGTGATCACAAACTCTTTCTTGACTTGAAAATATTCCAGGCAGTTACAAAAGTTATTCGAAACTTGTACAGAGATGGCAGTTATAGAAGCATCTAGGATGGCTCTGGGCCATACACAGAGTGGCTACAATATACGATATACTATATATATGACAATAAAATTGACCCTGTTCATTAAGTGTATATTTATGTAATGCATATCATGTAATCGTGTATATATGTACTAAATGCATATATGTTCCACATTACTTTGAAATCTTCATCTTCGGAGGCAATAAAGAGAATGATAATACAACTTATAAAATGACGTTTGTTGGCCGGGATGGAAACGCTCAGCCGGGGGTTTAAGGTGAAGCGCACCACCGTATGAGTTGTTGCCGTACTGTGAAGAAGAGTTCTATTATTGTTGCGTTTTTTCTGAGTTGGAATGACGTCGATTCTTACATTTGGTTTTTGCTAGATGAGAGTGGTCTCCCTTAGCGACATGATACACGTTGTCATTTCAGAGTCACTTGTCACGAATAGTCGAGTGCATGGTACATTTACATAAAAACATATGCTGCTGATTTACCCACCTATTAACACGTGACTTTTTTCAATTTCTGCAAGTCATATTCTATATAGAGGTTACACAACGAGTGGTTGTTGAATATGGTATTTATTTCACCCTCGTTAGTTAATTTTTTAAAAGTTACAAAAGACACGAGCTTTAGCGATTGAAAATTAACTAACGAGAGTGAAATAAATACCATACTCAACAACCACGAGTCGTGTGATCTGTTTCTAGCACAATCTCATGATCAGTCGGAAATAACATACACACATGTGTTTGTTGACAAGGCTGGCGTAGTGATATGACCCATATGTAAAAAGTCATTTATTAATATTCAAAAATGACCTCTTTTTTTTACAAATTTAATTATTGTCAAAATTAATGTTTCGGCAACAACTTCGTGAAAAAATAAAATAGATGAACGACTTTAAATATTGAGAGTAGCAGTATTGCATTAATTTATATAAATTAACCACGGACCATATGCGCGTAAGCATATCGTTCGAAGTCTGTCTCCCGCCAAGTGATGAACCGTTGTAGACCAACTTATCGCTGTCAATATCCAAAACCATAGGCCTACGTTTCTAGGCCTACGTTTCTTCGTGACGGTTCCATGGTGACGTTTATAGTGAAAGTTCAGCCATTGTCAGACCGTCTAAATAGCGATAACGGGACGTTGGGAGAACGAAATATTTCCCGACACTGTGACAGATCTTGTTTTGGTTTCACGACCTGGACACGCGACGGTGTGACGTCGAAACGATATCGAGCGTCTGTAGCAATTTTGCCTGAAACTAGCGATCAAATCTTTAAGTATCATCTTTTAATATTGCCTTAATAACCCCCCTTTCCGCATAACCTCACAAAGTCACCAACATTTGTCGGATGTTGACAGCCGACGACGTAAACAAAACAGCAGGTGGCAAAAATAACGTGGAAAAAATCTTCCCGGTCAAAGTTCATCTTCTCGACCAATCAAAACTCTTGAAGCTCATATACCACGTGTGGTATATAACTCATATTTATCTAACAGTCTGCGTGTTTATACAATGATCTGAGAGTGGAATAACGCAGCGTATTGTGGTAGAAATATTGTTTTAGAGCGCATGCCTGGCTTAGATATATATTTATATATATAATTTGTTAACTTACCCGTTTTATGTACCTGTCCGTATTTTCGTGTTCATCCCAACACACGGCGGTCGTCCGTATATAATGCGATCACATAGATACACGGAAAGTACGTGTAATTTTGATACGGGTGGTGCAATTTGTACATATATAATCTGTCCATACACATACTATAACAGAGACTTGTACACGGACTTTTTTAACATATAATTTGTTTTTCACTAGGAAAGTATGATATTTGCCATGTACGTATGCGTATACGTATAAGTGTTATCTGGAAAAACCCTATTAGTAACCTACTGTTCCGTAAATTGTTGACATCATGTCTGACACCTTATTCATACATTTCTATTATGATTTTGTGCAGCTGCAACTAGAGACAGATTTGCTGGTTACAAGATTTTTGTGTCAAACACTACGGACTGGAATAATGGCCAACTCTGCTTTGAGGACCCTAGTACCTCAATTAATGAAGTATCGGATATAGTATCGCATCAATGTCAATATGTAGCTAAGTATGTGACCATTTACAACTCGAGAAGCACTCCTAATACGCGCTATGACCATTATTCAAAGTGGGCTGTTTTAGAGCTATGTGAAGTTCAAGTTTTTGGTAAGTAATAATATTGTTTGCACATAATGCGTATCGTTAATGTTATGACACAGTTTTGACATATATACTTATTTTTTTGAATTCATGCAAGCACAATATATTATTAATTTTCCGGCAGGACTAGAGCTTTGATAAATCATTTCTGAAAAAAACAATATCTAGCGGAATTTTTATGAGAAACAAAAATGATGAAATAAACAAAATCAAATCAAAATCATTGTTCTGTATTCATTATTTACTTTAACAGTCAGAGTTATTACCCCATGTATTAATTTCAATGGCATGTATCGCCCTCACCATTGTGCATATTTGTATTAACAATATAAGGTACTATAGTGTACGCTTTTATTATCGTTTTGTAAGGATGTCCAATACGGATGTATGGACAAAGCAGTTGTGACCAGCCATGTCCAGGGGACTGCTATGGAGGAAATTGCAACGCCGCCAATGGGTCTTGTTTCTGTAAGTTTCTTATACTGTCTCAATATATATCGAAACAAATCTGACGCAACCTGTCATCAATACAATTTCTTAATGTAATAGGATTGTGTCGCCATTTCTCAGTAGAATCTATTCAAATTTTATAGTTAAATTGCTTTGAAGTAAAGAAAATGTTCGGACACAAAAAAATATAAGTTGTCAGAATTTTAAGGATTTTAAAAACGAAATTTATGTAAAAAGGATTGAATTTTGAAAAAAAATTGAAACACACATTATTTTGGCAAAATAATGTCAATAAAAATGGTAATAACATAGGTTAGTATTGCATTAATGTATATCAATTTCATGAATGCTGAAATTGTGTAAAATTAATCATCTATAAACGATTAAAAATTGACATTTTATAATAAAACCTTATACACATAGTAATTGCATGCAAGAGTTATCGTTCTTGAAAAACTTCACAGTAGTGAAATAGGTAGCCGGTTTCCTGAAGTACAGAAAAATGGACACATGTGACTCATTGATTTGAAAACAACTGAATTAATGCCTGGATTGCTTTGCAATACTTAATATTGAAAGAACACACTGTTCTGTCAATAATAAGCATACAATATTCATCAGTTTAATATTAAACATTAGAATATGCGGAAATTGTAATACTGTCTCCCTACATTGGATTTTCAACTAGGGATGTACTTCCTATTTCCGTTTAGCAATACACTCCTATGACCTTAATAAATATTTTGTTTTTATATACAGAATATGACTGCTTCTGGTCCATAGGTAGATGCAGTGAATATTAATTAGAATTGCATTTAACAATTATATTTAGATATTTAAACCTCTTTAAACAGATTTTGCTATCAATAGATAAATTTCATTATTTTCATGGCGAAGTATTTTATTTTATTTTTATGAGACAACCAGATATTTCAGTGGAAATTATGTCAATTGTTTTAGGTATATTAATATTACATGTTTTGACAAACGTATATAATATACTACATTTGTATCAATGTTGCTATATTCGATAGTTTTTACAGTCCAGTCAACCTTTCTAAAGTGATTGCGGAAGACAATTAATAATGAAAAAAGGATATCAATTTGTGTTTTTATTTATGTTTTTTCATGATTTCGTGGAACTTAGATGAGTTTATCAAAACGAAGTATGGCTTTTAAGTATATGTTGGACATAAATTTAGTAATCGCACCAAATCATTCCAATAGGAAGATCAAATAGACAGTAGGGCGTGTACATTGTGCTTAAAACATCAACATAACTAACAGATGGATTTACAAATTACCTTTATGACAAAAGATAATGCTTCAAGATGCTAGCAAATATACTGGTCACGTCATTATGTCAACTAATGATTTTGATTTCAGATTGTTTTCCAGGGAAATACGGTGACAAGTGTAACAAAGAGTGCACCACTAGCTGCAAAGGCAGTATCTGCGAAAAGGACTCGGGAATATGTACAGGTTTAAACTTTGATAACTGACATGTACTTGCCAATATATTAGTTGTGTGAAGATTATTTAAGATAAAGCATTAAATTTGAAAATAGGAGACATACCAAAACCTTTGCACTATGTAAGCGACAAATAATAAACTTTATGTAAGATTATAGACCTGTTATGTCAGATAATTGAAAGTTTTGGGTATTTTATGCAAGAAAGAAGATGTCAGTTTCATGCAAGTGGGATACATGTTATACATGTGACAGTTACTAGAGTAATGTCTGTTATGTGGACAAATAGGTAGTTTCATGAAGGCCTATGTAAGTTGCACAATTCACAATGTGTGTCAGGTAAGGTAAAGATTGAATCGAGTATGTGTTTGATGTACGTCATTTTAGATACTTTGCCAAACTTACGATGTGGTCGCTGAGTGGTAGAACTTTCAGTGTGATCGGTAATCGGGGGAACTTTCGGTGTGGTCGGTAAGTGGTAGATCTTTCGGTGTGGTTGGTAAGTGGTAGAACTTCCGATGTTGTCGGTAAGTGGTAGAACCTTTGGTGTGATTGATAAGTGGTAGAACTTTCGATGTGGTCGGTTGGTAGTAGAACTTTCGGTGTAGTCGGTAAGTGGGTCGGTGAGTGGTAAATCTTTCGGTGTGGTCGGTAATCGGTATAACTTTCGGTGTTGTCGGTAAATAGTAGAACTTTCGGTGTGGTTGGTAAGTGGTAGAACTGTCGGTGTGGTCGGAAAGTGGTAGAACTTCCGATGTTGGTTGTTAGTGGTAGAACTTTCGGTGTGGTCGGTAAGTGGTAGATTTTTCGATGTGGTCAGTAAGTGGTAGAACATTTGATGTGGTCAGTAATTTGTAGAACATTCGGTGTGGTCGGTTAGTGGTAGAACCTTTGGTATGGTCGGTAAGTGGTAGAACTTCCGATGTTGTGGGTAAGTGGTAAAACTTTCGGTGTGGTCGGTAAGTGGTAGAACCTTTGGTATGGTCGATAACTGGTAGATCTTTCGATGTGGTCGGTAAGTGGTAGAACTTCCGGTGTGGTCGGTAAGTAGTAGATCTTTCGGGGTGGTCGGTAAGTGGTAGAACTTCCGATGTTGTCGGTAAGTGGTAGAACCTTTGGTGTGATTGATAAGTGGTAGAACTTTCGATGTGGTCGGTTGGTAGTAGAACTTTTGGTGTAGTCGGAAAGTGGGTCGGTGAGTGGTAAATCTTTCGGTGTGGTCGGTAATAGGTATAACTTTCGGTGTTGTCGCTAGGTGGTAGAACCTTTGGTATGGTCGATAACTGGTAGATCTTTCGATGTGGTCGGTAAGTGGTAGAACTTCCTGTGTGATCGGTAAGTGGTAGAACTTCCGATGTTGTCGGTAAGTGGTAGACCTTTCGGTATGGTCGGTAAGTGGTAGAACTTTCGGTGTGGTCAGAAAATGATAGAATTTTTGGTGTTGTCGCTAGGTGGTAAACTTTAGATGTTGTCGATAAGTAGTAGAACTTTCGGTGTGGTCGGTAAGTGGTAGAAATTTTGGTATGGTCGATAAGTGGTAGATCTTTCGGTGAGGTCGGTAAGTGGTAGAACTTGGGGTGTGGTCGGTAAGTGGTAGAACTGTCGGTGTGATCGATAAGTGGTAGAACCTCCGATGTTGTCGGTAAGTGGTAGAACTGTCGGTATGGACCGGTCCGTAAGTGGTAGAACTGTCGGTGTAGTCGGTGAGTTGTAGAAACCTCGGTGTGTGACAGGAAAGAGAGATCGCAAAATGTTAGACGTGGGTCAGCTAAGATGCGTGGCAAAACTTACGATGTGGTCGGAAAGTGGCAGAAGCTTTGGTGTGGTCGTATGTAGTGGAAGTTTCGGTGTGGTCGCTAAGATAAGTGGCAGAACTTAAGATGAGTTTTAGATGTGGTCGGAAAGAGACAAAACTTTATAAGTGTTAAAAATGACAGATCATTTGATTTGTGAAGGGAAATATGAGTGGCAAAATTAATAGGACAACCATGCGGCCATGAATTAGAATTGTTTTGATTTGTTTTATCTAATCCATACAAACTCATCCTTAGCTCCATACACACACTGATGAAACAAAAAAGAGGACGGGGAACGCATAATTCTTTTTCGAGTTTATTGTGGATTGTTTTACTTATAAATACAAACTAATCTATATTTCAACGTAAACTCATTAAGTCAAAGACGTAGACATGAACGGAATCATTAACTTACAGTGGATACGGTATGACTAATCTATACAAACGTATCATAAGATCCGTGTCAGCTTACCAATCCAAAGAAGAAAACCAAATTGTTAGTTTGAGGGGAAAATGATAAAAACAATTTTTCAAATATAATGTTTATGTATACACATTCTATGATAAAATCATATAGCTGTTCATTACATTTATTTAATTTATTATTTCATTTTGTATGAATTTTGTCATGAAAATATCTTTTCTATCAATCTTATGCTTATCATTTCAGAATGCAATCAAACAAAACATGGAGATTTCTGTAAGCAAGATTGCCCTAGGAATTGTAACGACAGCAAGTGTTACCAACATACTGGCTATTGTAAAGGTACTTATAGATTATCGACTTAAACGCAGTTTGATGCTATGTCACTTCAATGGTTCATGCTTCATCTACTACTAAGTCATTCTTAAAACGAATATATATGCTGGATAATCCATTTTATATATAAAGATTGTGAACGAAATAAACAATTTTCAAAATGCTCACCTGGTCGTAGCTAGAAGACAAAAAAAAACAAACTTGATAAATATCATATATAAATCCTTTGTCAAAGAATGATAAAAATAAGCATCTCACGTCAGTATTGAAGTAATGTTTACGATATATAGGATGGATATGTAGAAGGACTAAATAATCTTGCATGTTGTGCGTGGACGGGGAAATCTTAACCCGAGGACAAGAGTTTGTCCGCCCAGCGCTACGGCATGCTGATCAGCCAAACTCTAACCCGAGGGTTGAGATTTCACTGCCTACGGTCCACACCTAATGGTAATTTGTTTCAGTACTCGAAATGAACATGCATGTGTCATTACTCTTTACGTAATCATATGATTGTATTCCATGACAAGCGTGCATGAATAAAACCATGTTATTTCATAGGGGTGATGAACTCTGAACATAAAATACGAAATCTAATTAAAGCACAAAGTTAACAAAAGATTTATTCAATAGCCAACAACTGCATTAATATATTTTATAATAAAAAAAAAAAAAATCATTTAGCACAGTCGACAAAACATAAATATTTCCAACGCCGACGCCATGACGTCATATCGGGTGTAAGCTATATTTTCATAGGGAAAGACGTATTTATCTTTTCACAGAGGAATTCCTGTATATCAAGGGCAAATTTGGGAGATTAATAGAATATGTAGGCCCCTTTGGGTGAAATAGGTAAACCTCAACCCGCGAGGGTGACTCTTAATTGCCAAATACAAGGCTTTGTCAAGTGTTTGGCACCTTACGAATCTTTTCCCGGTAGTTGAGATTCCTAATCTTACCTCAAGGGGATTCTTTCTCTCTTTCCCTATTCAGCCATTGTGTATCATATTATTATGTAATGGCAACGTTACAGGCTTAATGCATGGTTGACGTGACGTCATTGTATTGTTGACGTGTCGTCACACAATTGCTATGAATAGGGGAATTCCCCGTGACAACTTTTAAGTGAGACAAGGATATCTCACATCAGGAAAAAGTGTTGATACATCTGACAAGGATGAGAGAAAAAGACATCCAAATTTGGAATTGGCAAATTTACGGTTGTCGGCATGTGTAACACAGTGATTTCTTAAAATTGCAACTTAGCTATATTATAATAACTGTATAACTGTTTCGTAATGAAGAAAAAGACAAATCTAAATCGCAATTGCACTGTACGAGATGTTTCAAATTATGACATAGAGATATTTTCACGAATCGCTCACCACTTTCAAAAAACGATACGAGTAGACTGATAATTGAAAATTATCTGCTTGTTATTTAGTAAAAAAACATATGCAGTAAATATCGGTGAAAAGGCAATCATATGGTTTGCGTCGATGCTAATTGCCAAGCATGCAAACAACCCGCTCTTTATTTACATATGCGTTACATGTTCACTATATCAACAAACCAAACGTATGCTGCAGTCATAACATTATGAACGAATTTTTTGCGTGTCTGATTTAATAATTCATTTCCCTCGTTTTTCAAACAAACAAAAAAAACACATCAGGGAAACTGTTTCCAATTGTCTGTAGTTCTGTCACTAATTCTGTCAGAGCAATAATATTCGGTTTTCAAAGCGTTAACTATTTTACAGAGATTGCTTTATACAGGTTTTTGCATTTCTTTTCAAACATGTTGCTGATGATGTACTTAAACATTTACCTTATGTTTTTACAGGATGTATTCCTGGAAGGTCCGGTGACAGGTGTGAACGTCAGTGCTCTGGTAACTGTGAAGACATGACATGTCTACAGGACAGTGGAAACTGTATAGGTGAGAAGCATTTACTGGCCTTTCCAAATTATTGATACATTTGTTAGCATTACAGATTCACTCATTTGATGATCCCGCCATGTTATAGTAGCAGCATCACATCCCTCATCAATAACTAATACTTCCTGAATTTCACCAGGACGTCGTTTTTTCCCCGATCGTACGCTTTTTAAAGAAATATTTACATTTGAGTACTTGGTAACTAGTTTGTGTGTCAACACCACACATTACACATAAAATGTTGATGTAATAATAACAAGTTGTACATGCACACATACAATGTTAATGCATTGACACTACAAGATACACATAATTTAATTATGTTTCGACACTAGGCAGTTAATGCATCGATATCACACTATAAACATAATTTGTCTGTGTAACAACTCCAGACGGTTCACATAATATGTTCCTTTGTAGACACATTGTGATTCACATAAACACAATATGCTAATGTATCGATACTGCACGGTAGATAAACTATTTATGTAACAAAACTAAACAGATTCTCCAGATGACCGCCAGTGGCAATCATGTACTTTTGTACGTAAGTATCCGTATATAAGTTTTCTTGAGAAAACTCTTTTTGGATGCTTTTATATTGATGAAGCTTCCTGCAAATACCTATCCATTTTGATTTTGACCCATATCTGAAATTAAACATGGCCATCAGTGGCAAATTTGAATATTTCGACATCTAAAGTGATTTTCAAGCGATAAGACAAAACAAAAATAATATACCAAATGGTCAACTAAAGCATAATTCAATAAGACTAGAGCAAAATATGTACAAAGGAAAGATTTATTAGGAGACCCTTGAAAACGTACGAGGAGAAGTAGAACTGATGTGAATGAATGGCATACGTATTCTGCCTCATTGACGACATCAACTAAATATACTTTGGCAAACTATTTATTAGTAAGGGTTTATCAGTATAACGGTGGTGTAATATTTTTAGGATGTGTTCAAGGAAAACAAGGTTTACAGTGCGCTGAAGATTGTCCAAGCGACTGTTTGACATGCGTGCAAGATGATGGAAAATGTACAGGTAAATGTATGTCCATTACATTGTGGCATACATCACATTTGGTTGTTGAGGATAGACTTATTTCGTGTATCCCGAATGTGTTATATTCAACAGGCATATACATTTTCGGAACTTGTTTTCATGAAAATGTTTTCAAGCTCAAACCAAAATTCTGTGGTAAGTCAACATTCTATTTGAGATTTAATAATCAAATCTTGAGTTTCAAGTTTACCCACTAAAATAAAATTCCATAGGATCGTGTTTAATTATTGAGAAAACGTCATTATCGTGAACATCGAAACCTAATTGCAATCGTCTGAAAAATGTTTTAGAGTTAACTAAATACATTGTATAGTAATGAAATATTGCATCAGCAAATTGACTACAACTTTAAGTTCCCCTTTCTTTTCGATGTTGGCTTCCATTCTTGTCAGTTTCAAAATGTTGTCTCAATTCTGCATGACACCGATGATATAAGAAACAAAGCTGATCTTTTTTATTTGGTTGAATTACATGTGAAATGTGCATTCAGTCCGTATGATATTTATTGAACGCTGTTTCTTTAGAATGTGTTCGGGGTCAATATGGTTCAAATTGTGAACTGGATTGCAATGACATCTGTAAAGATAACCTTTGCACAAAAGACGATGGCAACTGTCTTGGTAAGTAAAAGTTCTTATTTTCTTGCGAACTAAAACCAAAACATAGAATCACTAATAAAGTTTTTTTATTGTCGTATTCGTGAACAATAACTTACATTTTGACGTCCAATAATATGGGAATCATAACTTCAAAAAGGTAAATGTACTCATTTAGCAGTAAACTTATTTAAATGCTTTTCGTGCTAATTCTAAAAAAAAAACCGTTACATTTTAGAATTGGTATAATTTGTGTGGAATCTTTCTGTACATTTTATGCCCTTTCCTACAGTTTTCTCGTAAACAGTTTATTTTATTGATTCTTAAGAAGTACATATATGTATATGTATGTGTGATTGTTTTGGTATTTGAATATATTTATGGCCATGCGTCTACACAACGATCTTTTGATCAAACTTCATTTTTTCAGAAACTACAAAACGTTTTTCAAATAACATGTACAGAAATTGTCAAAGTTGAGACTGTTCTTTATACACGATTACAAAACTGCCCCCGAACTTCCATATTTCGAGGAAAGTGAGTATCTCATATAAGTGCCAAGATGTAATACCTTAAAATATTTTACTAATAGGGACATGTGGCTTGATCATTGATACTAATATGCGCTAGGTAAAACGAAGCAAAGAACGAACAAACTTAGGACTTAATGAATCGTTCATTGTTTTGATAATTTCTTTTTATTGAAGCCTGATTTAGTTACATCACTTTCATGTGACATGTACTCGAAAAAAATAACCTTTCAATTCAAAGAATGTCAGCATGGATATCACGGCGTGGACTGCACACTAGAATGCGAATCCGACTGCAAAATATGCCAACGGGAAGACGGTGATTGTACAGGTAATCAAGTGAAATTCACAAACAAAAATTGATTCAAACGTTAGCATCCAATTATCAATATTTATATAGTTTTAAAGAAGGAAAGCCCAATGTAATTATTTGCTAAATTTTGTTTTATTGGTTTTGCTCAGTTTCTGCATGTTGTAGTAAAACACCGACTTTGTCTTTGCATGTTGACGATGTACAACAATATTAGCTCGCTTGTTGCTCATATATCTTCCAGATGCTGCCGATCAGTTTGCAGAATTTAAACCATACGTTTGAGATTTATATCATGCGTTAAAGATAATATACATGTTATAACAACAGAATGCTTGGATGGTTTATATGGTGGAAACTGCAGTCTGTCTTGTGTCAAGTGTGAGCGGTGTTCTAGGGACACTGGGAAGTGCCTCACTACCTGCATGCCTGGATACGAAGAAGAATTTTGTCAAATGAGTAAGATGCTATTTCGCAGGTAACACCTGAACAAAACATGGGTTATACAGGCACAACAAATACTATACATTAGGGCCCAGATGATATCTGCATGATTAATTTAATGAAAATTTCCAAACGACACATTTTGAGAACTATCTAAGAGTTTATATATATTTAAGATTTTCTTTTCTACAGATGATCGTTGTGTATTCATATACTTGTAATTTTAGTTTAGATTTTAATATAATATCATCAAAAATAAATAAGATTAAAGTTTTCTTTAGAATTTTCTCTAAGCTGTGAACAACAGGGCTGTTTTCGCCGTAATGGATAAAATGACAGAATTAACCACCGGTTGATAAATAGCACGAGATACTTCCTTGATAGCAATACATTGTATATATCTATTTGTTGTGGCGTTGTAATGAAGCAAATATAACGAGAAGAAAAGCTATTAAAGAACCGAAAGTACAACATAGCGTGTTTTGCTTTGAAGGCATAAAATCGCCCCCACAGGATGATTCTACTGGGACGACAGTTGGCATTGTTGTTGGATTGCTTCTCTTGGTATCTATTATAACAATTGGCGTTGTGTTCTTCATCAGGAGGTATGTATGTTTATTAATTCTTGAAAGAAGGGTAACTTTCCGGTTTATTAACTAACAGAGTAATCGTATTACCGTGTTTAATAGCATACTACTTGCATATGTTCATGTCTCGTGTCGTATAGGCAGGTAATGGAAAACGATAAAAGTGTGGAATTTTCATGTGCATAAAACAAGAGTTTTATATAAATGTCGTTCTTCGTTTGTAACATCATGTAAGTCATTCGATCTTTTAATGTCTATGTCCGGCGTAAAATTGAAGCTTCCATTTACACTGAAACCTACATTCAAATTGTTAAACTACATTTCCGCTGTACTTAACATTACATTAACAAACCTTTCATTTTGAAAGCTTATATTTAGACTGTGTGTCTACATTACACTTTAAACCTATTTTTACACTGAAAATCTACATTTGCACTTTAACATATACTAGCAATGCAAACTTTTATTACATTCTTGACCTTAGTTTTGAAAACCTTTATTAACACTGTATGCCGTTCACTACTTACCTACATTTTCACTGTAAACGTACATTAATTCTGTTTACTTTCATTTACAATGTAAACATTCATTACACTGTAAACCCGCATTAGTTTGAATTACGACAAAGCCATGTTTTTCAGCTGCTCCTTAATCCAGACACTTTGTCTTAAAGCTAAATTAGCCGGATTATAAGGTCTGGCTATGCATTTTAGGCGCAGACAGAACTCTTTGAAGGAAGAAGATTCATTGGATGAGTTCGGCAGGCGGGATATGTCTCGATCATCACGGCTCAACAATGGCTATGGTAATATCATAATATCAGACGAGCTATTCTTTCAACTGCATGCTTAAGCTTGATCCTTTTTTGCGGGGGGGGGGGGGGGGGGGGGGGGGTTACTTTTTTATTTGGTCATTACAATTTGTTTTTCATTTTAGAGTCAGATGAACGAACGTCAGAACCATTACCGAAACAACTCGATAACGTTTACGTCAATGCTGCAAATGTAAACAAAAAGACAGACCAATACGAAGAGGTGTACTGTAATTCAGGTTCTGAGGGTATCGCTATTAGTGACCTGACATCGTTGGTGAAAACGAAGATGTTAAACAAAGCAAAAGCGTTTGAAGAGGAATACAAGGTAGATATTGTGTACCAAGTTCTTTGTTAAATCGATTTATACACCATATAACGACACACGTTTTCTAATCAAAACGAGTAAATAAGTCGACTTTTAATTATGCAATGTTATTTTAATAAAGGTAAGCCTAGCAGTATATTCTGATTTTATAAATGTTGATAATATCGATATAATTTTAGGAAATATCACACGCGTCTTTTGATATCCTCGAAATTTCAGAGTTTACGCTCACTTAAGTTCTCTGTACCAATGGATTATGCCATGACTAAATTGAAGGTGTGTAATTATCGATATCATATTTTCATGTATAACAACCTAACCAATCGCTATACTGATACCTGTCCTTTGAAGATTACAGTGAAGTGACACTCGACTACAAATCATGTAAATTTAACCGTTATGCTGCCATGTGATTCTTTTGATGCGTATAAAGGTTTAACTGGTCAACTTGTATCATCCGCAAGGAAGCGCGTACATAACCTTCAATTTTGTCATGACATATTTCAGGGTGACAAAATATCTGGAATTTCAAGGTGGTCCGTTTTTAGTATAGTATGACTACAATTAAGGTATACATGATATAACCTCTAACTATACGTCTTAGTCACTTCCGTACGTCATACGTTGCTATGTTATTGCATAGGTATATATCTCCACAAGTTTATACAATAAAAAAATTCTATGATGTTAACAGTTATATATTTCCATTGCATGTTTTGTACAGTCGCTACCATCAGGGGATTTGTATGAACATAAAGTTGGGATGATGACCGAAAACAAACTAAAAAACAGATTTAAGACCACGTTTCCATGTAAGTAGCACTCCAGACCCACACCATTTCATACAAACTCCTATATTATCATACTTTGGCTATTTAACCGCCTGTTCTGATTCGATTGAGCTGATACAACCACGTGATATTTGATCATCGTGTTTTTCTTGTTCTCGAGTTTCGCGGTCATGATTACCTCATTTTCAACCTCCCTAAGACTAAATAGTGAGAAGTATCGCCTTGTTTTTCCAAGTAAGTGAAATAGAGGACAACAATGGTAAGTACACCGGATAATATTGGCTGTCGTGCGATAACTTCTTTTTGATTTAATGCATTATTTAGTGGCCTTACAGTGTTAAATATGTCACACTATCCATTCTGTTATATTTTACAGATGACCATTCACGAGTAGTCCTTGACAAACAGGACAAAGATCCACACTCGGACTACATTAATGCAAGCTATATCGATGTTTGTGATTTTATTTTTTATTATACTTCTTTATTTCTTTATTCATTTAATGAACTATATATTTTCATTATCACAAACCTTAGTTCCGTGCTCGGAATATCCATAATTGTGTCACCAGAAATATTACAGATTGCAAAGTATTTCAATTTTGAATGTTCCCAGCATTTTTAGTTATCCTACTTGACTTTGTACTATTCTGTCTTAATTTGTTATGTATCGGATAGGATTTTAAATTTCGGAAAACGTGTACCTAATGATATATTATTTTAAACCTATACTACCTGTATCTACATGTCATTTACAGTTGATTTATAGCAATGCCAATGTAAAATAAGTTAGCATTGTAAAAGATACAGATACCATCAGTGTAATGCTGCAGATGTTAAATAATCTAACTGTTCGGACGAAGAAACCAAAATATGGGTTATGAAATGACATCATAAGGTGATAGTTCGTACACGTACAGTTCATTTACTTTTCAGAGTGTCACGCTACCTGCTGAGTATATAGCAACACAAGGTAAACTGAATTATGATTCCACACATTAATAATTGAAGAATTATTTTCAAAGCTCAGCAGTGTTCCATTGCCAAAAATGCATCGTCCTTATACAACAAAAGTGTTTCATTACAAATAATGAATTGTTTAAATACAAAAAAATATTGTATTTTGACATCAATCCAAAACAGTTGATTTCTAAATTATCTCACCTTTACAGGACCAACAAACAAAACCGTAGATGATCTGTGGCGTATGATCTGGCAGCTGAACTCTGGCAAAATCATAATGCTTACTAATCTGTCTGAGGGACCAAAGGTAAAAAGCATGGCGATGAACTTTCAAAATTTGTTCTGAATCTTGTAAATAGTCTACAATCAAAACCTTCCAAACGGTAATAGCCAAGCTACTTTTAAACAACGATTAATATCGCATTAATATCAAAGCAATACGAGACGCTTCAAAAGTATATTGGACATTCTTAGTAATTAGTTACATGTGATTTCACATATCCATTGTTATCACGCTATAGTCGTGCTTGTTTTTTTTTTTTTTTATTTCAATGTCAGAAAAAGTGTGTGAAATACTGGCCTGACGAAGGACAACCGATGTCTACAAAACATTTCGAGATCGTCCTAGACAGAGAAAGGGTCTACGCCTTCTATGTCATCCGGGATATCATTCTCACAGAAAAGAAGGTAATTTTAGTACGAGGTTTTCTTCCCAAGACCTATCAGATTGCGATTAGAACATTCACTCATTCAATCATATTACTTTGTGTAATTCCAGTTTATCATTTTTGTTTATTAGATGAACATTTGATGTATGACTAACAAAAAAAGATCCATACTTATAGCCTAGCATGTAAAAACAAAGCAAAAGAAAATTAATTTAGAACAATTAATACAGGAAGAAATATTATTTATATCTGCCTTCTAAAAGTCCCTCGTTTCAATCATCCTAGTATAAAGGAGCTAATGAATGAACTCGCATGTTCAAATTTCATTTTATAAAAATAACGATATTTTCAGACCCAATCAGTGCGACAAGTACACCAGTTTCACTACACCACGTGGCCAGACCACGGAACCCCAAACCCCAATGAACTTGTCGTGTTCCATCGTCGAATGAAGCTTTACAAGAATTCCTTACCAGGAAAGATGGTTGTCCATTGCAGGTGCATTTGTACATTTTGCTTTGGCCGTATGGTTTTACTTGAAATGGAATTCTAGTTTGTTTCGCAGTAACTTGCAACAACTAATCGATTTTCTATAAACATTTACAAAAGATTTGAATCTGCACTGTCGTCTTTCATTGTGGTCGAAGTGTAAAATAAGTTCGTCGAATTTTTTGTTAGCGGATAATCGTTCTTGAATTATCAATTACTCACATTGATTGGCACGGGTATCACTAAACAATGACATTCACAATACCGAGTTTAGCAATATATAATCTTCTTATATAGTTCTAGTATCCTAACTGTGATTATTTGACTTACAGTGCCGGTATCGGGCGAACAGGAACGTTCATTGCGCTGGATGCTTTGTTGGATTACGGCAAAGAATCTGGAATGGTCGACATCATAGGTTACATTAGAACCATGAGGAAGGACAGGATCAATATGGTTCAAACCATTGTAAGTCGTAAAAATTACAAAAAACTACCAATTCATTTTTGTGCACATTAATAATTGATACATGTATAAGGCTTTGAATCAACATTTTTTCTAATATATACAGAAGCTTTTTCAAATTCAGAATCATCGGTGATCTCTTAATCTCGGATACACTCGAACCACAATTAATATGATCGTTCGATTATTAAAATTAACTAAACTAAGATTGGGAAGAAATGCAGATAATCCTTTTTTATAAGTGACGAATGGTTCGAAGTTGTATTCAATCCCATTGTTGCATTTAGGATCAGTATATTGCTCTGCACAACATCCTGATTGAGGCGTTTGACATGCCAGACACCCTTATACCCAGAGTGGAGTACCATGCAGCACTGAACAGACTGTCGGATGATGTCCCAGTTAACCAAACGAAATTATGGCAGGAACATCAGGTAACAGTTTCATTTTAATCAAACATCTGGGTTATAGATATTGGACAATTTTAAAGAAAAAGGGCCCAACAAGTTAAACTATATAATTACGATTCTTACTACTGTCAATATTTGCTTAAGTCCATTTCAAAAGGAGTATTCCATATAAATCAAATGTTGCGATATATTCTACAGCATTTCAAATTTAAATGTTTGGAAATATAAATTTAGCAAAACACTTGGGATCGAATTCGGAGTTCTTTACAGTGCTAAACCTACACTTTACCAATGTTGCCATACAGAAGCACATCATCATGACCGGGTTAGTACAGTAACTCTAAGCAAGAAAAGCTCCCAAGTAATGCTTCATTTTCTATATAGAGGGGAGGCTACTCCGAGTAAATAAAATCGGAATAGAACCCTCCCCACAATTATAAATAATGCAGTGGTACCCTTTCCTCTGATCATATAATTATATTTCAGAATGTTATATTTTAATGTTTATCTTTATGTCTATTATAAATCCATTTGCTAATTGTATACCAAAGACATCCTGTGTTATGCGCTGAGTGTTGAATTGTATACCAAAGACACCCTGTGTTATGCGCTGTGTGTTGAATTGCAAGTATTGTTCTGACTTATTAGCCCCTTTGCAATAAAATAGAGTTATTTTGTATATACACTTTCTCGTAAATGAATATCACCTCGAAAATGTGATCACTGTAAAAGGCAGCTTCTCCACTACGCTACCGGTAAAGATATTTTTTATATAAATACGCGTGTGCAACATGCCTGGGAGTATTTCTAAAACTTAGTCTAACTCCCAAACAGGCCAGCGATCTTAATTTGCTTTGTATGAATACAGAGCAAAATATCAATTTAAGAGGAAGATAACTTTACAATGCCCGCATATATTATACAAGTGTTAAAACTCTCTACTTTAAAAAGATTGTTTGATATTGAAATGTTTATACTGATATGAACATGTACCCTTTTTTCTCTTAACATCAATTGTTTATAAAATTGGAAAATAAATAACTGACACGTCTTTTTATGCTTAAATAAACCAGCTATTTGGTAAGTGTTGCACAAATTATGTGCCTACCCCTCCTTCGCCAAATGTGAAGTAAAACACCACAAAATCAACAAACATAGACAAGATTGGAACTCAAGTTAATCGAATAAAGGCAAGTATGTTTGCCTCGCATGGTATATCTTATTATTATTATTAACGTGAAACAAATCTGACGTTTTTAGTTGTTGCAAACTATGAAGCCAACATATACCAAAGTCGACTATAAAGCAGCACTCCTTCCCGTCAACCGCAACAAGAACAAGGATCCGAATGTCTTAGCAGGTAAGCTGTTTATACAGTTGTATAAATATTCAATAAATGATTTACCTTCATCGCACGTTACGTTTATAACATGAAAACATTAGATTACATTACTTTTTTTTATTTATCTATGTATTAATGATATCATTTATTTTTATCCTTTTTTTATTTATTTTTCCTTATTTATTTATTTGCTATCTTATTATTAATTTAATTAACTTATTTATTGATTGATATTTATGTATATCATTTTGTTTACAGTTGACAAATTCAGAGCATACCTGACGTCATCATTATCCGACAGAACCGATTATATCAACGCTGTGGCTGTTCCTGTAAATATTTGTTATTCTTGCCTTTTCAAAACGCCAGTGTTTTTAACAACAAAAGATGTGGACAACAATAATAAAACAACATGACTTTTTATACAAGACCACGTATCAATTAGGATAATAGAAATTTATTATGAATATGTCGTCTCATTTTGAAATATACCATGATAATCTGTTGCTGATGATAACTCAAATACTTAAAAATGTCTTTATCAGTCTTACACGTCTCGAACCGGTTACATCATTACCCAGAGTCCTGTAGATGACACCATCGTCGATGTTTTGACAATGATAATGGACAACCAATGTGATACCATTGTTATCATTGAAAAAGACCCCATCGTAAGTGTACGAGCTTGAAATCTNGACATGATAGTAGGAAGGTATAATATAATAGTAGGAATATATTTCATGATAGTAGGTAGCTATAAAATGATAGCAGGAAGGTATAACATGATAGTAGGAAGGTATTACATGATAGTAGGAAGGTAGTACGTGATAGTAAGAAGGTATTAAATGATTGTAGGAAGATATAACATGATAGTGGGAAGGTATTACATGATAGTAAGAAGGTATAACATGATATTAGGAAGGTATAGCGATAGATAATAGAAAGATAATACATAATAATAGGACGGTAATACATGATAAGGGAAGGTATTACATTATAAAAGAAAGGTATAACATAATAGTAGGAAAGTATAACGATACATAATAGGAATAAAACATTATAGTAGGAGGGTATAACATGATAATAGGAAGGTATAACGATAGATATTAGGAAGGTAATCCATAATAGTAGGAGGGTAATACATGATAGGGGAAGGTATTGCATTATAATAGGAAGGTATAACATGATACAATGTAGTAGGAAGGTATAACATGATACAATGTAGTAGGAAGGTATAACATGATACAATGTAGTAGGAAGGTATAACATGATACAATGTAGTAGGAAGGTATAACATGATACAATGTAGTAGGAAGGTATAACATGATACAATGTAGTAGGAAGGTATAACATGATACAATGTAGTAGGAAGGTATAACATGATACAATGTAGTAGGAAGGTATAACATGATACAATGTAGTAGGAAGGTATAACATGATACAATGTAGTAGGAAGGTATAACATGATACAATGTAGTAGGAAGGTATAACATGATACAATGTAGTAGGAAGGTATAACATGATACAATGTAGTAGGAAGGTATAACATGATACAATGTAGTAGGAAGGTATAACAATACATAATAGGAAGGTAATACATAATAGTAGGAGGGTATAACATGATAGTAGGAAGGTATTACATTATAATAGGAAGGTATTACATAATATTAGGAAGGTATCACATGATAGTAGAAATATATTACATGATAGTAGAAAGGTATAATATGATAATAGGAAGGTATAATATGATAGTAGGAAGGTATTATATGATAGTAGGAAGGTATAACATGAGATTAGAAAGGTAAGCACGATAGTAGAAATGGAAAACATGGTAGTAGGAGGGTTATACATGATAGTAGGAAGGTATTACATGATAGTAGGGAGGTACAAAATGATAGTAAAGGTATTGCATAATAGTAAAAATCTATTACATGATAGTATGACGTTTTTATATGATAGAAGAAAGGTAGTATATGATAGTATCAAGGTATTATATAATAATAGGAAGGTATTACATGATAGTAGGAAGGTAAAACATGAAAGTAGGAAGGTATCACATGACAGTAGGAAGGTATAACATGAAAGTAGGAAGGTATTACATGATAGTAGGAAGGTAGCATATCATAGTATGAATGTATTACATGATAGTATGCAGGTATAGAATGAGTGTAGGAAGGTATAATATGATAGTAAGAAGGTATAAAATGATAGTAGGAAGGAATAATATGATAGAAGGATGGAATACTATGATAAGAGGGAGGTATAACATGATAGTTGGAAGGTATAACATGATAGTAGGAAGGTTTAAAATGTAACATGATAGTAGGAAGGTGTATTACATGATAGTAGAAAGCTATTACATAATAGTACATGAAAGTAGGAAGGTATTACATGATAGTAGGAAGGTAGCATATCATAGTATGAATGTATTACATGATAGTATGCAGGAATAGAATGAGTGTAGGAAGGTATAATATGATAGTAAGAAGGTATAAAATGATAGTAGGAAGGAATAATATGAGAGAAGGATGGAATACTATGATAAGAGGGAGGTATAACATGATAGTTGGAAGGTATAACATGATAGTAGGAAGGTATTACATGATAGTAGGAAGGTAGCATATCATAGTATGAATGTATTACATGATAGTATGCAGGTATAGAATGAGTGTAGGATGGTATAATATGATAGTAAGAAGGTATAAAATGATAGTAGGAAGGAATAATATGATAGAAGGATTGAATACTATGATAAGAGGGAGTTATAACATGATAGTTGGAAGGTATAACATGATAGTAGGAAGGTTTAAAATGTAACATGATAGTAGGAAGGTGTATTACATGATAGTAGAAAGCTATTACATAATAGTACATGAAAGTAGGAAGGTATTACATGATAGTAGGAAGGTAGCATATCATAGTATGAATGTATTACATGATAGTATGCAGGAATAGAATGAGTGTAGGAAGGTATAATATGATAGTAAGAAGGTGTAAAATGATAGTAGGAAGGAATAATATGAGAGAAGGATGGAATACTATGATAAGAGGGAGGTATAACATGATAGTTGGAATGTATAACATGATAGTAGGAAGGTATAAAATGTAACATGATAGTAGAAATGTATAACATGATAGTAGGAATGTATAACATGATAGGAGGAATGTATAACATGATAGTAGAAAGCTATAACATGATAGTAGGAATGTATAACATGATAGGAGGAATGTATAACATGATAGTAGAAAGCTATAACATGATAGTAGGAATGTAAAACATGGTAGTAGGAGGGTTATACATGATAGTAGGAAGGTATTACATGATAGTAGGAAGGTAAAACATGAAAGTAGGAAGGTATCACATGACAGTAGGAAGGTATAACATGAAAGTAGGAAGGTATTGCATGATAGTAGGAAGGGGAATGTATAACATGATAGTAGGAATGTATAAAACATGAAAGTAGGAAGGTATCACATGACAGTAGGAAGGTATAACATGAAAGTAGGAAGGTATTACATGATAGTAGGAAGGTAAAACATGAAAGTAGGAAGGTATCACATGACAGTAGGAAGGTATAACATGAAAGTAGGAAGGTATTGCATGATAGTAGGAAGGGGAATGTATAACATGATAGTAGGAATGTATAACATGATAGTAGTAATGTATAACATGATAGTAGAAAGCTATAACATGATAGTAGGAATGTATAACATGATAGAGTAAGAAGATAGTACATGATAGTAGGAAGGTATCACATGATAGTAGAAATATATTACATGATAGAAGAAAAGTATAACGTGATAGTAGGAAGGTATTACATGATAATAGGAAGGTATTACATAATAGTAGGAAGGTATCACATGATAGNTTATGAAGGTATAATATGAATGTAGGTAGGTATCATATGAGTGTAGGAAGGTATTACATGATATTAGGAAGGTATCATATGATAGTAGGAGGGTTTTTTCATGATAGTAGGAAGGTAATACATGATAATAGGAAGGTATAATATGATAATAGGAAGGTATAATATGATAGTAGGAAGGTATCACATGATAGTAGAAATATATTACATGATAGAAGAAAAGTATAACGTGATAGTAGGAAGGTATTACATGATAATAGGAAGGTATTACATAATAGTAGGAAGGTATCACATGATAGTAGAAATATATTACATGATAGTAGAAAGGTATAATATGATAGTAGGAAGGTATAATATGATAGTAGGAGGTATTATATGATAGTAGGAAGGTATAACATGATAGTAGGAAGGTATAATATGATAGTAGGAGGTATTATATGATAGTAGGAAGGTATACCATGAGATTAGAAAGGTAAGCACGATAGTAGAAATGGAAAACATGGTAGTAGGAGGGTTATACATGATAGTAGGAAGGTATTACATGATAGTAGGAAGGTACAAAATGATAGTAAAGGTATTGCATAATAGTAAAAATGTATTACATGATAGTATGAAGGTATAATATGATAGAAGAAAGGTAGTATATGATAGTATCAAGGTATTATATAATAATAGGAAGGTATTACATGATAGTAGGAAGGTAAACATGAAAGTAGGAAGGTATAAGATGACAGTAGGAAGGTATAACATGAAAGTAGGAAGGTATTACATGATAGTAGGATAGTATTATATGATAGTAGGAAGGTATACCATGAGATTAGAAAGGTAAGCACGATAGTAGAAATGGAAAACATGGTAGTAGGAGGGTTATACATGATAGTAAAAATGTATTACATGATAGTATGAAGGTATAATATGATAGAAGAAAGGTAGTATATGATAGTATCAAGTTATTATATAATAATAGGAAGGTATTACATGATAGTAGGAAGGGAGCATATCATAGTATGAATGCATTACATGATAGAATGCAGGTATAAAATGAGTGTAGGAAGGTATAATATGATAGTAAGAAGGTATAACATGATAGTAGGAAGTAATAATATGATAGTAGGATGGAATACTATGATAAGAGGGAGGTATAACATGATAGTTGGAAGGTATAACATGATAGTAGGAAGTAATAATATGATAGTAGGATGGAATACTATGATAAGAGGGAGGTATAACATGATAGTTGGAAGGTATAACATGATAGTAGGAAGTAATAATATGATAGTAGGATGGAATACTATGATAAGAGGGAGGTATAACATGATAGTTGGAAGGTATAACATGATAGTAGGAAGGAATAATATGATAGTAGGATGGAATACTATGATAAGAGGGAGGTATAACATGATAGTTGGAAGGTATAACATGATAGTAGGAAGGTATAATATGATAGCAGGAAGGTATTATATGACAGTAGGAAGGTATAACATGAAAGTAGGAAGGTAGTACATGATAGTAGGAAGGTAGCACATGATAGTATGAATGTAATACATGATAGTATGAAGGTGTAATATGTAGGAAGGTATTACATGATATTAGGAAGGTATCATATGATAGTAGGAGGGTTTTTTCATGATAATAGGAAGGTAATACATGATAATAGGAAGGTATAATATGATAATAGGAAGGTATAATATGATTGTAGGAAGGTATCACATGTTAGTAGAAATTTATTACATGATAGTAGAAAGGTATAATATGATAGTAGGAAGGTATAATATGATAGCAGGAAGGTATTATATGACAGTAGGAAGGTATAACATGAGATT